ACAACCATGCAGAACTTTTGTAACAACATCTGTCATAAGAAACAATGGAGGAGCTGAGTTCACCATGAAACCAGCCAAATAGGCATACAGCTCCTGCGAAGAGGCAGGAGAGTCGTTAAGGAAGGGGGTGAGAACAACATAAAAAGAAAGATGTAGGAGATAAGAGAAAGACCAGATTGTCTTCCACAAAAAAAGTGAGTGCCTGATATATATAAAATATAAAATTTGATGCGCTACGGCCAACCGGTGGGGAACCAGCCCTGTCGATCGGGCGGTAGGACCGGTCCGGTTGCGGTTGAGGAGGGCCCCCCGGTCCTACCGGGTTTGCAGCCTTGAGTTTTATATAATTTCTTGTTTGTAAATGGAACTCGTAATCTAGCTCAACTTCTGCTTTATTTACAGATGGGGAAAGGAGAGTGAAATTCGCCTGAATATTGTACATGTGGCTAGGGCCGCCAAACGGAACATGGAGTGGGACTCAGGACAGGGACTCCAGACTAGGACTTGGGACTAGGAGTCGGGACTGGGGCTCAGGACTGGGATCCAGGACTGGGACCAAGTGTGCAGCTGTGAAATCCTTTCAACACAGCTTGATGGAAAGTAATCATCACAATAACTCAAATTCAAATCATAAAAATCATGTTAAATCAGTCAGAGGCTCAGAGCACACAGTTTGTACCATTTTGTTACTCACCTGTGGGTTTGCAGAGACATCTGCATAGAAGGAGAATACGAATGGTTCTTCATCCTCGCCATTCACCCTCTGAAACAGTAAGCATCAACATCTGAGTTAGCATACAGAATGCCAAAATCAATTATTCAGAACAGGTTCGGAAGGAGGGAGTATGACCGTCTTTCCTTCCGCAGCATTCATCATATGAACTGGGGAACATGAACCTGTAAGTAAGCACAAGCTATGTGTTGAAAAGAAGCCAGAAGATACTTAGGTATCATTTGGAAATGGATGCAGGGCTTTGATGTGTATCTGAGGCAAAGAAATATTGACCATTAGCGAGCTTGAGTGTAATAATGCACCAAGCCTTGTATAGTTAAGTGAAGGGAATTAAGACCTTTACTCTTCTTCTTTTTCTTTTCTTATTCGATTTCTCAACCTTGGGTGACAGGGTGTCACCCAAGGTCACCATGAAGATTCTTGTTCCTTCGCCAAAAAACGAAAAATGGAGATTCTCATTCCTTCTCTGCATTTCCCTCCCTGCCAACTGTATTATGAAACCCTTGAAATGCCCAAGGCGGAACTGTATGGATGCAGCATCACTGAACAACGATTTCCAAGTATAATCTATTCACCTGTTCAGGTGTCTCGATACATGTCCCATCCATCCACCGTACAAATGGCTTTGTGCTCTCAACAGTGTTCCGCACCTGGCAAAGCGCAAGATTGAAAGGGACATCACCATAGAATATCATGACAAATTGACGATGTCAAATTCTCAATGAACTCTCCCTGATAATAGTTGATAATACAATCATTGCACGAAATTGCAGAAAGGATAGAGAAAAGAGGTTTGTTTGCCATTTTTCAACTGCCGGAATTTCTGATTCTTGGATCATTTTGCAAGCTTCTCAGGTTTCTATATTCCTTGCAGCGCACTTCGTGCGCGAGCATGCAGCGCACTTTGTGCGCGAGCATGGGGCACAAGCGGCGTCCAGCGCACGTGCACCCATGTGCGCGCAATCAGTGCACCGCACCGCCGAAAATAGGGGATCGTGAAAAAAAATTGGGAGGGGCGGGTATGGTGGCACACCCCGTCCCTCCCCAGGAAAAATGTGACGGGGCCAAAAATAAAATTCATTCGGGCCGCGCACAACAGAGGCCCCAAGTTGGTTGCGATCTCCCAGGTCTGCTACAGTCATGATGAGGACGAGTTTGTCTGTTCTCTCAGGGCATATTCGCACTAGGACCTTTTCACTTATTTTCTGGATGTAATTGCGGTCAGATGCGTCGAGTTCCAGCCATAAGGAAGGTCAGATACATTAAAGATAGAGCTTAGTGTGGGTACGCCCTCAAACAACTCGTCAGTTCTCTTTATCTATACTCTTCATACGGGAAACCCGGGTCTTGTGTGACGCCCCTTTATGGCCCAGGTGACAGTGTTGGGAAAACACAGTTACTTTTGGGGAAGGGGGCTGTTTGGTCCCAGCAGGTCCCAGCAGGACCGGGCAGTTTGCTTTTGTCTGCGCATGCTCGAATACAAGTACGACGCATCTTTTGTCCCCCATTGTGTCGGCCATGTGTCTGCTTCTGTGTGTTGGTGATCGCAGTGTTGTCCATCTGCAAATGTTTGAATACAAGTACATAGCGGGCCTGAAAAGGGAAAGATTCTCTCAAGGCCTCCGCCCTTCTAAGGGCCTTGCCACACCACTCTTGAAACGGGGAAATATGTCAAGAGCTGTCAGACGTTCTCAAGAGTTGGGCTTTCAAGGGTTTTCCGCCCCTCGCCACACAGCACTCTCGAAAGGGCGATGCCGTTGGACACAGGATGAAAAACGACAGTCATACAGCTTTGTTTTTTTCGCATGGTGTCAGGATAACGGCCTGACACAAGGGTTCGGCCACGAATGCTTGGAAACGCATGCGTTGCAGGCTGGGGTTTCCAATCTTTCAAGAGCTGCTCTTGAAAGGGTTTCAAGAGCCACTCTGACCGCTCTTGACTGCCCCAAATGTCAAGAGGCTGTGTGGCGATGCAGCAACTCTTGAAAAACAGTTTTCAAGAGTGGTGTGGCGACGCCCTAAGCCGTGGACCCGTGGACACTCTTGCAGTCAGATTCATTGTCGCTTTTCTTTTTCTGTCAGGGTCTTGGGGCCGCGTTGCATCGCATCGCAGGAAGAAGCGGAGATTTTTCTTCTTAGCTGTGGACAGAATTGGAGTCAGATTCGTTGTTGCTTTTTGGGTCACGTGGCATCACATTAGAGGATCGAAGCGCGAGTTGTTCAGTTGTCTTTTTCTGTTTTTCTGGCACCGTTTGTGAATTTAGCCGTGTCATCGGGCCTCGCTCCACAACTCTCCAAATGTGCAAGTCACACTGAATCCTCCGCTAGAACGTGGAAAGATCATACATGCGACGCATCGACATGCACTGCACCACGCACAGGCGCCACCCCGCACATCGCGCACGATGCACGTGCACGCMAAAATCACAGGGTCCYMAAMAAAAAAAAAAAGGTKGSGGGGGGKRGGGGGGGGGGGGGGGGGGTTGTAGGCCCACTAGGGACTTCGCACCGCCCGGTACCAAAAAATAAATAAATAAATTTGAGGGCGTGTGCCCCCCCCCCCAAAAAAAAGCGAAGATATCCAGCTACTTCATTTTTGAACTACTCCGACCTACCCCACACTGGCCCACACCCCGGTAGTCGACCTTGGTGGCCCAGCAGCACGTCCTCCTTTGTGGCCACCCTGTGTCACCCTTTGCCACTGCAGTCATCGTCTTCTAATGTCCATTGGAGCAGGAAGCAGCCCCCTGAGCCGTCGGTCAGCCATATCCAGCGCAGCTTCGGACAGCAGCATGAAGGAGGGCAGCGGGAAGGAGCCAAAGGAAGCAGTAGTGGGAGGAGCTGAAGGAAGCAGCCATATCCAGGTGGGTTACCACCAGCCTCTCTCTCTCTCTCTCTCTCTCTCTCTCTCTCTCTCTCTCTCTCTCTCTCTCTCTCTCTCTCTCTCCCCCCCCCTCATGGAAACTGTGCAGCTCCTCCTCCTCCCCATTTCTCCCTTGTCATCATTCTCCTACTCCCCCGCTTATCATAGTTCTCCTCCACCCTCCTCCCTCCTCCCTCCTTCCTCGTCTCTCCTCCTCTATCCCTCCTCCATCGTCTTTCCGCATTTTTCTATTTTCCAAACTCTGATTAGTAGCCTATACCCGCCCCGTCGTTCTCCTCCTCCTAAATCCTCCCTCGTCATCGATCTCCTCCTCCCTCCGTTGTTGTCCTCCCCCTCCGTCCTTCGTCATCAGTGTCCTCCTCCCTCCTCCCTCGTCCTTCTCCTTTCCCCCTCCTCCCGCGTCATCGTTATCCTCCTCTTCCTCCCTCCTTGCCATAATTCTCCTCCTCCTTCGCTTGTCATCGTGCTTGTCTTCATTCTTCTCTTCCCCCCTCCCTCGTTTTTCCTCCATCCCTCCTCGGTCCATCTACTATCTCCTTTTTTTTCCGTTCGATTGAATTCCCTCGTCATCGTTCTCCCATCCTTGCTCCGTCTGCCATCTCCACTTCTCTCCCTCTGCCATGTCCACTCCCCATGTCCTCCCCACTTCGCTTTTTCTACTTGTTCCTCCATCCTCATTCCCTTTGCCATCTACACTTCTTTCGTCCACCACTGTAATCGCGATTTTGCTTTCTTTTGGAGCGAGCGCCTTGATTGGGTGATCGCCAGTGAAATGGAGGGGGGGGGGGGAGGAGATGAGGGGCTTGGTCGCTGTTGAAGGCCGTTTTTATTTTTATTGTCATTTAATTTCATTTTTTTTTTTTCCCTCACTGTTATGATCCTGGCCAATTTCGAACTACACATTCATCAGAAAGTACAATGTCGTCCAATTGCAAAAAGAAATGAATGAACTTGAGAGGAGAGAGAGGGAAAGAAGAAGAAGAAGAAGAAAGAAAGAAAGAAGAAGAAGATGATGTACACCAGCATAGACCAATGGTAATGCTCTTCGTCTTCGCCAACCACTCTCCTCCTCCTTATCTCCTCCCCTCTTATTCAATCAAGAAATAATAATAATAATGTTGAATGGCTGAACCAGAATCAATGTCTGAATCCCTCTTCTACTGCAGGTATCACATGAGGTCCACCATAGCCATGGCACCCTTCTCCTTCCTCTTCTTGAAGAGCTAGGCTATGGCGGACTGCTAGGGCCTTGCCCTGCCGTGCAGAAGACAACTCAAGAAGCTATGGCTGCTCTAGCTCAGGCCGTCATGCCTGACTCTGCGTGGCATACTGATACCACACGGGCCCCAGTTAGGGCCCGGTTCTGTAGTAGGCATGGGTTAGGCCTAGGTACCGGGTCACGACGATCCCAGCTAAGTCCAGGTAGGCCTAGGAACCGTCGATTCAGTTTAGAGTCCGGTAGGCCTCGTTTAGACCCCACCAGACCCACAACTAGTTGGTTAGGCCAGGTACCGGTCCATCGGTAGGACCGCCCGGCGGCGCAGTTTAGGCGCCACTTTTCAGATTTCGAAATCGGTTCTGAACCGTTGGGCCTGATCAACGGTCCAGACCCGAAGGCACCAGTAGTACTCAGGCCGGCCCAGCACTATATCAGCTGGGTACCAGCCTCAGTCGGCAGGTTAGTCGACAGGAGGTTAGTCTACAGGTTAGCGCAGCGTTTCGGCATTAGCATGAGCAGAGCAGCGGAGAGGATTAGCACAGCAGCGATGAGGAATAGCGCAGCAGCGGAGTAGCGCCAGCCTCCGGCCCAGCCCGCGGCCCAGCGCCAACCCTTAGCTGCCTCGCCAGGTACCAGGGAGAAAGGCCTCGCCTTTCCTCCCTCTTCTTCCTCCTCCGCTCTCTCTCTCTCTCTCTCTCTCTCTCTCTCTCTCTCTCTCTCTCTCCTCCTACCCTCTAAGTCTAAGTCTACTCTTGGGTTACTCCTACTGGACTACTATGAGTACGGAGGATGGTTATGAGTTCTGAAGATAGCTGAGATAGCAACATTGAGCCTTCGGTTGAGGACTACTTCTGGGATCTGACTTCATCTATTTCTGGGGATGTATCTTGATATTGGGAGATCGATATCCGGGACACTGTGAGACTCTGTATTCACGACATTTCGGATTTGTGCTACGTATGACATTCGAGATACTATTTTTGGAGACATGGTGTTGATGTCATCTTCCTTCTCCTCCTCCTTTGATCTCTCCTCCCCTCCATCCATCCGTGCATGAGATCAGACCCTGGCCTTTTCTTCCATGTCCCAGGCCAGGGCTTTCACACGACCGATGCATGTTGTGAGTGTTTCGTTGCAGTCTGAGTCAGGTCTGAGTCAGTCCATGTGTATCAAGTCTTACTTACTCTGTATTATCTGGTCGGTTTTGGGAATCTGCGCCATACTTATGACTGTGTTTCACGAGTATGCAACAGTTTGGTATCGGAGCAGACCAGCATTCGATAACTCATCATCAGTCGATATATTGATGGATCAAGTTGCTCAACTAGCGCTTGATCAACCAATCGACTGATTGATTGATTGATTGATTGATTGATTGATTATTTACACCTGTACTCTGTTATCATAATTCGCAAGTCGCAATTTTTTTTATTTTTCTTTTTCCCTATACTCTTCAAGAATGCAAAGGGCTCAGTGTGACGGTTCCCGTTGGGCCCAGTGAAATTTGGTGTGGAGGCCGGCGGGACTGGCGCAAGGTAAATCGGTCGCGGCGTTTCGTGGCGGGACTGCGGGCGGGAGTGAGGGAAATTCGGTGTGGTGGCGGGCGGACTGGCGCAAGGCATATCAGCGGCGGCGTTCCGTGGCGGGACTGCGGGCGGGACAGGGGCGGTGTGGGCCTGCGCAGTGGCGCACGGCGCTGCGTGCTGAAAATTAACGCGCGGCGCTGTCGAGCGCATCGGTCCGGCACCGCACCAGGGCAGCGCGG